AAGATTCTGGAAATGGATAGTGGTGATGGTTGCACAATATTGTGAATGTACTTAATGCCACTGAATTGTATGCTTAAAAATGATTAAAATGGTAAATTTTATGTTATGTATATTTTACTACAACAAAAAATTTTAAACGTGCATTCTAATTTATACAATGGAATGCCACACAGGAAAAAAATAACCCCACTATTACACGCAACAACATGGACGAATCACAAAGACATACTGTTGAGCAAAAGAAGCCAGGCACAAAAGAGTATTGCATCGTCTGTTTATCCAAAGTTCAAGAAGAGACAGAACGAGTCTATATTAATAGAAGACAGAATAGTGGTTTCCTCTGCTGGTAAGGATTGTTGACTTGGAAAGGGCATAAGGCAGCTTTCTAGGGAAACATTTATATCTGAAAGGTGGTTACATGAATATATACACATATAAATATTAACTGAGCTGTGCATCAAGGATTTGCCTGCTATATGTATGATATATCCATAAAGAACTAAGAAACTACATATCTTTTAACTCAGAAACATTACTTTTGAGAATCTAGTCTACAGAAACAAAAGCATCACTATGTAACAATAAAAGTTTAAGAATTTATTGCAGCAATTCATACTGTAAAAAAAATGGAAATAACTTCAGAAAGAGAAATTTTTGAGTAAATGATATTATATTCATACTATGTAATGTGATGTAGCTATGACAAAGAATTGATGGAGGGATAGGCTTTTATCAAAACGGCCACTGCTGAGAAATGTGTATAAATGCTATTTTTCTAAACAGGAAAATCCTTCCAAATTTCTATATTTCTATGAGCCTAGAGAAAAGAATGGAAAGATGCACACCAAATTGCTAATATAGTTTACCTGGGGCCAGTGGGTTAGAGAGGAGAAGGAGACTACTAATTTTTGAAAGTATATTTGTATTGTTTGACTTGTATTTTATCTTTGAAGTAAAAACACTTCTCTAAAATAAACAAACAGTTTAGTAAGGAAAAAATGCACAGTCATTATAGATATCTTGGAAGGAACTGTGTCAACATGTTAAGAATGTTAAGAATGATTATCTCTGAATAGTGGGGCTAAGATTGTTAAGAATCAAAATTCAACTGAATAAATTTGAGGATCAAATTGGCTTTATTAAGTGATTCATGAATCGGGCAGCATCTCATCTAGCAAGTAGAAAGGAGCTCCAGAAAAGGAAAGAATCTTAGAGGCAGAAAGGGGTTGCAACAAGGAAGTCATAAACAACAGAAAAGGTTATTTCAGGCAATGTCACTTTCCTCTGGGGGAAGGCAGGGGTTGATTAGGTGGATGATTTCACTAATGCTGACCGGGTAATTCCAGATTCAGTGGTTAAAAGTCACATCCCTGGGAGAGCGTGAAACTGCAATTAGGTTAGATATTGTCTTGGTTTGCTGACATGGGGCTTAGCACAAGTGGCCTCATTTTGGGCCTGTTGTTTCTTTTTTTTCTTTAACAATTTCTCCTTTGATCAGATTCTCAGCCTCACTGAGAGATGTGATCAAAATTTAAGGCATTAGCATCATGCTCAGCTACTGCTCTGTAGTTCTCGTGGTTTTTGTTGATCCTTTGTGTGGTATTCATAGGTCATTATATTTCCTGCTTAATCTCTGTGGTATTCACAGGCCATGACTTCAGGTTTACAATTTTTAAGTTGGGCATTCTCTTTGTTCCTTTTTCGATATTCCAGTCTTAGGGAGATCATTTGCTTGGTGGTTAGTGGCGGTGAACATGCATTTAAAGCTTTTGGACAAAATACAGCACACCAGGGAGATTACTATGATTATTATAAGCAGGATAATTCCCAATGTCTGGCATGCACTTTGGAGCTATGGTTCCCCAAGACCCAAACAAATCAATATCAATAAGTCAGAGAAGTACCCCATTGAAGGAGTCACCCTTTTAAGCCAAATGGCTTGCTCAGTGAGCTTATGTAACTGAGTGTCCACTTCCCCAGAAGTGTTAATCCAGGCGCAGCAGGTGGTGTTGGCCACAGCACAGATTATTTTGTTTAGCTAAAAGATAATCTAGGGCTAGGCTATCATCAAAAACAACTTTGGCCACAGAGTCTAGGAGTTTTGTTGGGCAGCTATTGCTTTAGCAGCAGATTCGGCACTATCTTCAAGAGTTAAGGTGAGGTTCATGATCACAGCATCATTTGCACTCACTCCTAGCCAGGAGAGCAGTAATCTACCAAAGGAAGCTAATTTTGAATCATGAATGCCTCCTGGTAATTCCTTTCTAATTCATTGATGTAAATTCAGGGGAGTTGATCAATGAGGTGTCTCAGTTTGTTTGTGGACAGTTAGAGGCACAGTTAGATAACCTAAGAGGCACTGCCTGGTTATAGGCCAGCCATCTGGGCATTTATAGGGCCAAGGAGGATGATAACTACCACAGACAAAGATAAATCCTATCGAGGCACCAACCACTTCTGCTAAGGTGGCACTGTTAATGGACAGATAGGAGTCTTTCATGAGAAACCCAGCAGTCTGAAAGGCAAAGGCTTAGCAATGACCTGGGAGATATGAATGATGGCATCATCTTTCCAGACCAGTGTTAGAGTAATGGAAGAAAAGAGAAAAGGAGAAGTTTTGATGTTTAGTTAAAGTACAAAGTCTTGATCCAGTGTCTTGGGTCGTAGCAGTCCACATCAATGTCGGCTTCTCTACCTGGTCAATTTGAGTTGGAGTCTCCAGTGTTTGTACAGCACCAGATGTTCGGTGGAGCCTTTTTCAGTTGTAAGATGAGTACCCCAGGTTTAAGTGCCTGATGTTTGGCTGCCGTCTGGGTAGTGAGGAGGACCTGCTATAGCCCCTTTCACGAAGATTCTTAGTGATTCCAAAGCAGAAGAGTGGGAGAAAATTGGAAACATTAGTGTGGAGAGTCATAGCCAGATATTTGTGGAAACTAGAAGCATTCAGGACCCAGTGCAATTTATAGGCATATAACAAAACCTCAAAGACAGTGAAGAGGACTGGAATCTAATATCCACAAAGGTGCAAACCTAGTCCTTCTCTCTACAATTACCCCCATTTGTTACTAAAGATAATCACAGTAAAACTAATTTGGGTGCATTAAACACGACTTGGTTATTTACATAAGTGCAGTGAGAATAGTGATACTGCTTTGCTGCACCCTTGCAAGGAAGGTACTGGGCCGATTTTTCCAAGGTCTTACAAGAAGATATTCTTATTGAACTTATGCAAATAACTACCTGTATTACAAAGGAAGATGCTCTGTGGCTGCCCAGGGCAGAGGTCCTCCCTTATCCCCAAGGTCCCCAAGCCCTCTTGGCTCTTTCGTATGCCTATCCGCTCACCACTGCACCATCAGCCAGGCACATATCGACGTCAGCCTTGTGGCTGCAGCTGCCCCCACGGGGCGGCCCCAGAGGGCTGCTTCTCTGCCTTGGCCAGCTTCCTGTCTCCTGGCGGATGCCACTCACCCTGCCTTCATCCCGCCCCTCTGGCCCTTCTCCTGAAGTCGCCGTCTCCTACCTCCTCTCTGTTCTCCTGCTTTTTGGCTTGAGGTAGCCCAACATCCAAGATCTGAAGGAGAAAGAAACCCCATGCCCACCCTCTTATCCAAAGTTCTTGAGTCGTTAACTCCAAAAAAGCTGTTATTTTGCTTTTCTCGAGTCTCTCATTGACTGCAAGTTCTTTCACGACCTGACTTGTCTCTGTGGCTCCTCCGTGGCACCCCTAGACTCTACCTGCTGCTTTCTCCTGGGATTCTTGCTCCAGAGCCTGCAGGGGGTGGGAATATTGTCCTAATCCAGGCTGCAGGTGGAGGCCGTGAGGGTCAGGGCTCAGGCTGATGACAGACAAGTGTTCATGGCCCGCGGTGTCTTTGTTTCTTCTGGCACAGACAGGGCTTGGGCTTCCAGGGTGGAGAGCTGCACCCCAGTCAGTATGATTGTCGCCTGAGCGTCCGTAATGTTGCTTCTCAGGAGCCCTATCTGATCTCCCCTTCCCTAGCCCAAGGCCAATCAGAGCTGTGTGACTCCTGGATTCACAAATAGTGCTACCAGAGGGCCCTGAGCTTCCTGCTCGTCAGTCTGAGCCCTGGGCAGGACCCTGGAAAGGGTGTGACTGCAGCCTGGTTCTGCTAACCCCAGGGTTTGAGGCACTCCCCTGACACTGGGCGCCCCCACCCCGAGGTGGATGAATGTGAAGGCGGGTGGAGTGGGTGCCACCTATGTTCATTCCTGTTGTTTCAACCCCTAGAACAGTACAGTAGTCCCCCTCTTATCCACGGGGATACATACCAAGGCCACCGGTGCATGCCTGAAACCCCAGAGAGTGCCAAAATGTATATATACTATGTGTTTAAAAAGCAGCTATTATCTTCTTTTTTGTTTTAAAGATTGGCACCTGGGCTAACAACTGTTGCCAATCTTTTTTTTTTTTTTTTTTTCTGCTTTATCTCCCCAAACCCCCTCTGTACACAGTTGTATATCTTAGTTGCAGGTCCTTCTAGTTGTGGGATGTGGGATGCCGCCTCAGCGTGGCCTGACGAGCGGTGCCATGTCTGCGCCCAGGATCCGAACCCTTGGCTGCCGCAGCGAAGTGCGTGAACTTAACCACTCGGCCACGGAGGCGGCCCCTATCTTCTTAACTATTTCATCCCCAACTCTTGAGAGAGAAGAAAAGAATAGAGAGATCCTTTCTTCCTCTCTCTCTCTCTCACTCTCTTTTTCTCTCTCAGTGGATAGTTTCATATATATAAAAGTAAAGAGAACAGTATAACGAACCTGCTGGTACAGCACCCACCTTCGGTAAAAATCAGCTCATAACCCATCTTGTCTCAGCTCTACCTCTCCACCTCCCTCCATCCCGGATTTTTTAAAGCAAACCCTAGACATTATATTATTTCTTGCATTAATATTTTAGTGTGCATTCTTTCAAGATAAGAATTCTTTTTTAGGGGCCGGCCCGGTGACGCAGCAATTAAGTGCACACATTCCGCTTCAGTGGCCTGGGGTTTGCCCGTTCGGATCCTTGGTGTGGACATGGCACCACTTGGCACACCATGCTGTGGTAGGCATCCCACATATAAAGAGAAGTAGGGGAAGATGGGCATGGATGTTAGCTCAGAGCCAGTCTTCCTCAGCAAAAAGAGAGGAGGATTGGCAGCAGTTATCTCAGGGCTAATCTTCCTAAAAAAAAAAAAAAGAATTCTTTTTTAAACCACAATACCATAATCATTCCTAATTAAATTAATGTCTGTACTATTATCAAATATTTGATCAGTGTACAAATTTCCCCTATTGTCTCATAAATTTTTATTTTACAGTTTGTTTATTTGAATCAAGGTCTAAAGAGGGTCCATACCTTTCTATTGTGTCTATCAATAAAACTTTAAATCTCTTTGATCTATAGGAAAGAAAGGGAGGTACCTTGAAGACCAATTTTCTGTTTAACTGAAGAAGGGTCTGACTGGAACAGAAATTGCATATCTTCTTACACATCTAATCTACAAGAGGAAAAGGTGAAGCGGGTTTGAAAACCAATTATGTGGTGTAAAAGAGGTAAGAGCAACCTCGGTCACAGGGACACAGGTGAAAGTTTGCCATCACTCCCACCCCCAGCCATCCTCCTGTGCCAAGTCTGGCTCCAGAAGAGCTGAGACAAGAGCCATAAAATGAGTTTTCTGCAATTATCTCCACCTTTACAGAGGCCCACTTAGCTTGCACCCTCTCAGTTCAGAGCCCTGGGAGGAAAGGATTGCATCAGTCTTGGTTAATGGCCCAAATTAAGCCATCAAAACCCCTAATCAAGCCTCCCTTTTGGACATGTTACAGTACTGTAAATAAAATATCCAAAGGAAAATAAAAGCCCTTCTATCTGAGGCTGGACAGAACTTTGGTCCCTGGAGTCACATCCCTGAGTTACAGTTTCTCTATGGAGGCTCAGGACGGGCGGGAACAAATCCCTGCTCCCCTGGGGAGCCCAGGCCCTCTGCTTTCTCACCTCAGAGCCAAGATGCTGCCTGGGAAGAAGGTGGGGGCTACTTCTTCCAGCGTCCCAGGGAGACACGAGTCCTGAGGCTTTGGGAAACTTGTCCTCGGTTCTACATGGACTCAGAGGGAGGCCTGGGAAAGAGCCTCATTGCCTGTCCTGGACTCTGTCTTCCATATACCATACCTCCCTGCTGTTTCCACGAGGGTCTCCCCAGGGTCCCAGCCATGTGTAGAAATGCGGAGAGTGCTCTCTGGTGTTAAAAAAGAGACAACAGGCCCCAAATGGAATCCCTTGTGCTAAGCCCATGTCACCAAATTGAGACTTAATTCCTACCCTAAGCAGTTGCAACCTCTCCTGGGAATGTACTCTTAAGCGGTTGGTCTGAAATGTCCTTGTCAGCGGCAGTGAGGCAATCCACCTAACAGACCTTTTTCGTCCCCTAAAGGAAGGTGACTGCCGGAAACAGTCCACTCTTTTTCACCTCCTGCCTATAGAAGCTTTCCATTTTGTGCAGCTTCTTGGAGCTCCTTTTTATTTGTAGCTGAGGTGCTTCCTCATTCATGAATCATTGAATAAAGCCATGAGATCTTCAAATTTACTCAGTTCAGTTTTGTCTTTTAGCAGATTTAGTCACGACATTGGACTCCAAAGCGAACTTCTGCTGGCCTTCAGGGATGATGAAAAACACGTGTGTCGTACCTGTGACCCTTTTGAGTTCTCTCTCCGTCACAGTTTCTGAGGGCCGTGGGTGAAGTTCCCCTCAGTTCTGAGCTCCACTCTCTTTGCATTGAACTCCCGATTGAAGTGGCTTTCCACAGTTTCCTGTTTGATTGGAAAACCCAGCCCTTGGTTCTGTCCCCAAATTCTACAGTGGGAACTGCTGATGGCAGCTGCAGAAGTTTCCCATTAGTTCGGAATCAAATAAGCAGCGTGCAGTCCCCATCCCTTGGGGTTTCCTGGTTCAGGCCTTTCTCCAACCCCCAGATTCCACACTGGGAACTGTTGGTGGTTACCAGCTGGAATCAGACTGGGTCTGACTTAAAAACCAGACTGGGTTTGTGGTCGGACTGAGTCTAACTTGGGCAGGACTGGGTGCAATGTGTTTTATGTATGTAAAAGCTATTGCTAACGGAAATCTCAGAAGCCAAAGAGCTGCAAAAATTGGTGGGCATGAGTTGAGCATCAAAAAGTTGTTAGAGTGCTCGCCACCTGACCCAAAGACTCCCATGTTAGGATAAGATGGTCACAGAATGGGTTAGATTGACACTAGGTCACCCATCAACCTCAAGAAAATTTTTGTGCAATGAGGTACACTGTTCCCAACCCAGCAGTACATCCCTTCTAGGTAGTAGTTTGGCTCCAAGAGACCCAAAGGCTTAGCTAAAAAAAAATAAAATAAAAATGGGATCCTTAAATTCCAAAGAGTTGAGCATGCCACCTTCTGGCACACTTGTTTATTTTATGTATAAGGACTGTGATCCCAGAAGCTGTATATGTCTACAAAAACGGCAAAATCTTACTAAAAACAACCCAGAATTACAATGGCCGTTATGGAGAATGTCCCAATTAGACAAGATCGCTCATTTAAGAAGCGCACTTAGAACCAGGGCTCCCAAATCAAACAAACTGAACGGGAATTTTTTATTCCTACAAAGAAGCTTCCAAAAGTCTTCAAAATTCCAAAATAGCTTCATTAAAAATTTTGTGGCAAAAGGCTAATGAGAATTTAAAGACACAAGATTGTAAACAACAGTTGCCAAACTATTAGCTTTACAGCTACAACACCTCCAAGGGCAGGCACCTAAACTAACATCTGGGCCCACTACATTGCACTCTTTTGGGGGTCCATTATTACAGTGCTGGCCTAAGGGTTGATGTCTCAGTTGTAATCAACTGGAACACTGGATAACAAATTGTCCTGAAAGGGTCTATGCAAATTTTTCAACATCATCTCAAATGTCCTCATATCTACCGGCAAAGGAGGTCCCCCATATAGGCCCCTCTCAGAGTTGTTGGGACTCCAAGGTATTCTCCAGTAAACTGCTATGAGTAATTCCCTTAAAACAACAAAGGGGAAACAAAAATTTTAAAAGCTGGCCAAATTCTAGTAGATACTAGAGTTACACTCTCTACCTTAAACCTGCAGATTGGATCCTGCAGATTGGATCCTGGTAAAAACTGGCAGAAGCTGGCTAAAGCTGAGAGTCGGGTGCCTAGTAGAGAGAGGGAAGTAAAATTTCATGTTGTCCTTTTCTTTCCAAACCCAGGCCATTGGTTACTGATCTTTGGGAATGGCTTGAAATCTTGTAGAGAGAATATCTTTTGCGTCCTCTTTGAGGATGCCTCTTGAGTCCATGAGGTTGTTTAATACTGCCAGAAAGATTTACTGTTTGTCCCAGCTGAAACCTGACAAGATATTTGAAAGGATTTAATAACTCTATGATGAAAAATTTGGCCAAATTGAAGCTGATATTCTCAGGTCCTGATAGGAATTATTTATTTTATTTTATTTTAAAGATTTTATTTTTCCTTTTTCTCCCCAAAGCCCCCCGGTACATAATTGTGTATTTTTAGTTGTGGGTCCTTCTAGTTGTGGCATGTGGGACGCCACCTCAGCATGGCCTGATGAGTGGTGCCATGTCCGTGCCCAGGATTCGAACTGGTGAAACCCTGGGCTGCCAAAGCAGAGCAAGCGGACTTAACCACTCAGCCACGGGGCCAGCCCCGTGATAGGAATTATTTTTAGGCCTACTTCCTTGAGCTTAATATATCCAGAGGGAAAGGAAAACATTCCAACATAGGTGGATGGATGAGTCAGTCATTTGATACCATCAAGGCTATAACTCAATTCTTTGAGGAATTAAAAGCACCTGTCCTTATCTTACAAATCTTTGCAAAACTAGAAATACAGCTCTAGAGGCAGTTCAGAGTCTAGCTATTCCTTTTTACAAATCCAAAAACCTCCCCTACTTATCTCAGAAGGTTTGGAAATATTATAAAAATTCTGGCTTTAGGAAATCAAAGTGCTTCTTGGAGGAATTTGCATTCTTTCCCTGTGCCTTTAAGATACAAATGTTGTACCCAGTCTTTTCCATGAACTCTTATCCAGGCCATCTCTTTAAAGTACAAACTTTAAGAAGGTAATTCTTATTTTAAAAACCCACCAAAAACAAAGAAACAAACAAAACACAAAAGAGGGAAAGGTCATTTAAAACTTAGGCAAATGAAACATCTTTTAAATGTGTTCTCCACAAATATTAGTAAAAATTTTAGTCTTCTGAACATGTAACCTTAACTTATTTCATCTACCAGAAACACAAATTAGATCCAACTTCTTTAATAACTAGTACATTTTATATTATTGCATCATATTCATGGCTAAAATTTTTAAAACAAAAGCTATAAGGTCTTGGCTTGCATCTATTTATACACATATGTGAGTCCATATACATATGTGTTGTAGATGTGTGGTATTTTCTACCTCTGGATGGTATTGCTAAAATTAATTTCTAAAAGTACTCTGGTTAATTGGCTTCAGGCACTTATATGAATTAAGTTTTCCAAAAACTCTCAGAAATACAATAGAAACTAACCAAAACACTTTTTGGGCTCATGTGATCTGGGAAAAATATTTGATGTTAAAGCTAACTTAAGTTTGTTGGTTTAATTAAAATAGGTATGTGTTTAGAGTTATTGATATTGAATATAATGCAGACACACAACTTTTATTCTACCTAGGTTTACTAGTCAAATAAGTTTCTGTTACTTCTGTTGCAAAATTTCCCAGCAAGAAAAATAACTTGGTATGATGAAATTTTCGTAAGTATTCTAAACCTAATTGTCAGGTAAATTAAATAGATGTAAGTAGGATAAAAATTTTAGATGGACTTTTAAAGTAGTTTAACTACAGCTTTTTGGCAACCTGAAATCTTAAAGTTTTGCTGAACTAAATTAAATGGTGCATAGTCATTAAATATCTAGATCTTTTCCAAATAAGATAAAATATTGAAACGTTGATTACTGAAAATAGATTTATCGACTTTAGCTTCTTTTTACATAGGAACTAGAGACATTTGGGTCTATTGGTAAACATATCTTGTGCCACACTGAGAAATTTACTATGCAAAAGCACATGTTTCCAAAAATTATTAAAATATTTATAAACTTTCCAAGCACAGAATGCTAATATAAAGACAGTTCATCATTGTTAACTTCATTTTCACTAAAAATTGAGATTTTTAAGCATTAAAAATTCTAATATATGTAATTAAAGCCACTAGAAATAACAAGGAAAACATCTCTATATGCAAGGAAAATGAGATGTCTGTTTTCAGTAAAAGAAAGTATGAGGAATGGAAATGTATTTTTGTTGAGGAAAAAGAAAGTAATTTTGTCCTAAAGTGAGGCTGGTTATTTCAGAATAGGAAAGAGAAAAAACATAGGAGAAAATTGTACAAAGTTTGTGGGAAAGGTATCTTGAAATAGGAATTTTATGCATGGTTAAGCTGGCTAATATTGGAATAAATTTATTTATGTAAAAAAAATGAGTTTTAATATCAAAAGTACATTAGTGCAAAATTAGAATTGGTTTTCTCTCTGTTAGAAGGACAAAGTTTCCTTGGGGTTTTGGTCTGCTTTTGATAACCTATTGTAAAAGTTTCTTTACCGTTTAAGTAATCTAGCTAGAAAGCAAAGATTTTATGTTTTACCAAAATAATTTCCTGTGACAACTCTTTAACTTTCCATATTTGTCTGTGAATCTTAAATTGTCACTTTGGTTAAATGGATAGCTAGGTATTATTGCATGGTGACTTGTGATCCTATTTGACCAAGTGTTTTTAAACCTTTTGATATTTTTGACAAATTTACCCCAAATCAAATTCTACATGAAGCCTTTTTTCTTTTTCTCTATCTCTCTCTTTTTTTGGTGAGGAAGATTTGCCCTGAGCTAACATCTGTGCCAATCTTCCTCTACTTCATATGTGGGATGCCTCCACAGCATGGCTGATGAGTGGAGTAGGTCCGCACCTGGGATCCAAACCCACAAACCCTGGGCTGCTGGAGCAGAGTGTGTGGAACTTTAACCACTTGGTCATGGGACTGGCCCCTACCTGAAGTCTTTTTGACTCAATCCAATGTTGAGATTTTCCAGAGGGCTCTTGGAATATCTCAAAAGATTTTTCTCTCTCCTTATGAAAAGATAAATGTTAAACCCATTAGGTTTATTTGACATGTTAAATTATATGGGAAGCATTGTCAAGAAGTAAGACTAAGTCTTCTTTATGTTGTATTTATATAGGTATATGTTATAAGTGTTCCAAATTGTGTAAAATTTGTAAAGTCTGATATGTCCTGGTATAACGTTATCAGTCATAATACTATTATTATCTTAAAATGTATGCTATAGAAATAACCAAATTTCCTTCTTGATTCCATTTAAACATGGTCATTTTTAAGTCTTTTGTCATTTACAAATGGTTATTATTTCACTCTGATGCTTTTGCAAATTGATTCTACAAAAGTGCTTCATCAAGGATATTCATGGAAAGGACTCTGACAAGTACAGGTTTCTGATAACTCTAAGATCATAAAACTGAACTGGATTCAAACAGAACAAATGTAAATTACATGGAACTGAATGAACTGAGGAGGATGATTGTATTTTTTATGATTTTTTCATTTGAAACATTGGTGGTTCCTTAAAGTTTTGTTTTGCTCAATTTAAGGAAAATTTTTCTTAAGCTATCTATGACTTACAGCAGTTTGATAAAGTATACCTTTGTAAACAAAGATGAAACATTTACTTTTTCTCCTTACCTGATCCCTCCAGAATTCAGAAACTCTTGCGTATTCTTTGTATGGCAATGTAATTAGTTATTAGCATAAGTTTAATAAGAGTCTGTTCTCCTTGTGACAGGACAATTGGAAGCACTGGCTGTATTACCAAGGCTTTGACTAGAATGTCATATTTGAGAGAGATGTATGTGGACTCGGATATGACCAGACATCTTTAAGAAATTGCTTGGAAAAACTTGTTTATAGGGTTTCCAGCAGCCTTACCAGGTGAGTAAGAAGGGTCACTGCCTGGCAGGCCTAGGAACTTCACTATATTTTGGAGGACCTCGAGAAGAGAAGAATTGAGCCAAACTATAGGTATTGCAGGTAAAATCTAATGACAAGTCCTTGGCTTGGCTTCCTGGCCTCAGAAACTTTTAAGAGTTCAATCTGAGATTCCTTAAAAAGTTCCAGTAAAGCAGTCTCAAAAAGAGCTTGTATGGCCAATCACTATTCTTGCTGCACTTATATAAATAATCAGGCCAAGCCTAGTGCAAACAAATTAGTTTTACTATGATTACCCTTGGAAAAAGAAATGGGGATAATTGTAGAGGGAAAAAGTATATTTGCACTTTTGTCTATATTAGATTCTAATCCTATTAATTGTCTTTGAGGTCTTGTTATATATCTGTAAACTGGACTGGATCCTGAATTCTAGTTTCCTCAAGTATCTGGTTACAACTCTCCAAATACGTTTCCAATTTTCTCTCACCCTTCTGATTTGGAACCATTAAGAACAAAGACTGTCCTTGATTCTCTTTGTAAGGGACTATACCAGGTCCTCTTCACTACTCAAATGGCAGCCAAACTTCATTAACTTGAACCTTAGGTGCACATCTCACAGCTGACGAAGGCTCCACCTGACATCTGGTCCTATGCAAACATTGCAGACCTCCAAATCAAATTGACTAGGAAGAGAAGTAGCTGACATCAAGGCAGACATCAAGATGCTAGATCAAGACTTCATACTTTAAACATTAAACACTATCTTTTTCTCTTTATTTCCTTTACTTTAGCACTGGACTGAAAAGATAATGCCATCGTCCATATCTAACAGGCCATTACTAAGGGAAGTACCCTTTCAGACTGCTGGATTTGTCATCAAAACTGATCTGTTCATGATGCTAGAGACACCCTGTCTCCAAACTTGGGGAACTCTGTGTCCGGGTTCTATGCAAAGAAAGGGACACAAAGCAAGGGTAACCAGAATAAAACTGCCTGTGTGGTGGTGATAGATGGAAATTAGTATTTGGGTGATGGACATGATGTAATCTACACAGAAGTTGAAATATAATGATGTGCACCTGAAAAAAAAGAATGAAAGAAAAGAAAGCAAAAAACTGCCTATGCAGTCTACAGACCTTAAAATTTTACTAGCCACCATGACTGTCGCCTTTCCAGTCCTGAGCCACAGATTCAAACAGGAATTACTGGGAGGCATTGATGAATCAGAATTTGCTTCCTTTGACTTGTTAATAGGATAGCCCTTGATTATCTTTTAGCTGAGCAAGGAGGTACGTGTGCTGTGGCCAACACTGCCTGCTGCATATGGATTAACACTTCTGGGGAAGTTGAAACTCAGTTACATAAAATCACTGAGCAAGCCATTTGGCTTGAAAAGGTGACTCCTTCAGTGGGGTCTTTCTGTGACATTGATATTGATGGGTTTGGGTCTTGGGGACCATGGCTCCAAAGTGCACACCAGACATTGGGAATTATCTTGCTTATAATAATCATAGTAATCTTTCTAGTGAGCTGTATTCTCTCAAAAGCTTTAAATGTATGTTCACAGCCACTGATCACCAAGCAAATGATCTCCTTAAGACTAGAATGTTAGAAAAGGCACAAAGAGAATTACCGACTTAAAAATTGTGAACCCAAGTTGTGGCCTATGAATATCACAGAAATAAAGCAAAAAAACCATCATTACCTGTGAATACCACACAAAGGATCAATAAAAACCATAAGAACTTCAGAGTGGTGGCTGGGAGTGGCACTAATGCCTTAAATTTTGATCACATCTCTCAGTTAGGCTGAGAATCTGATCAAAAGGGGAAATTGTTCAAAAAGAGACAACAAGTCCCAAAATGGAGTCACTTGTGCTAAGTCCATGTGACCAAACTGAGACTTAATACCTAACCTAGTTGCAGTCTCAGCCCCCAGGAGCGTGATCGTAACCAGTCAGTCTGGAATTTCCTGGTCAGCACTAGTGAGGTAGGTAATCCACCTGATAGACCCTTTAATCCCCAAAAGGAAGATGCTCTTGCCTCAAACAATCCACTCTTTTCCCCCTTCTGTGTATAAAAGCCTTCCATTTGTACAGCACCTGTTTGCTAGACGGAATGCTACCAGATTCATGAATTATTGAATAAAGTCAGTTAGATCTTCAAAATTACTCAGTTGAATTTTGTTTTTTACACTGGAAAATGAACACTGTGGGATTTTCTGTCTCAGCTTGTCAAAAGGCTGCTTAGAAACCAAAGTTTAAAAAGCTTAAACTGAAAAATAATGATTGATCCTGGAATGAAAAGATCTCCAACAAATCACTTGTAAAAAGACAAACACCACAATAGAAAAATATTCCAAGGACAAGAACATGAAAGAGAAATGGCTAATAAACATAAGAAAAGGTACCCAATCTCATTAGCAATTAGAGAAATGCTTATTAAAACGATAATATGATATGATTTTCAAAAATAGAAACATTGATAATATTCAGGGTTGGCAGCAGTGTAAGGAAAGGTCACTCTTGTATTTGATTGGCAAGAGTATAAAACAGTGGAACATTTTAAGAAGGCAATTTAGCAACACTTGGCAACATTTTAAATGGAAATCTACTTCTAGTGATCTATTCTATGGAAAGACAAGTACTCAGTATAGACAAGTACACAAATATGAATACGATGTTCATTGCAACATTGTTTGTAATAGTGAAAAGTTGGAAACAAGCAGGAAGGGAACAGTTAAATATATTATGGGACATTCATTATATGGAACACCAGGCAACCACAATGTATAGTTTTGTATATACTGACATGAAAAGATATCCAAGAAATATGATTGAGGAGGAAAGAAGCAGAAAAATAGTATGATCACATTTTATTAAGACTATACATAAAATTAATTAGTTAAACCATGTAGTTTTAATTAATTTATTAAATTACTTTATGTGTTAAACTAATTAATTAAAAAATATATATATTTAAATTATATACATAGATTTACATATTCATAGAAAAGCACTTGTGGAGATGAGGCTTCCTGTATCACACCAAATGTGCCAGATGTAACTAACATTTTAAAGGTTAAAATCCAGTATTGGTGAGAATGTGAGGAAAAGGGCGCGCTCATTCAGGATTGGTCAGTTGGGGCCTCATTAACAAATGCAGTTTGTCAAAACTTGTCAAAAGTTAAACTGTGGATACCATTGTACCCAGGAGTTCCACCTCTGGGACACAGTCCATAGAAATACCTGGACAAGTAGACAAGACTTGGGTCATGACAACAGTAACGACCTCAGCAGCTGTCACTCCTTGCATGTTAATGTGTCTTTGATAGTGTTCTAGGCACTTAAGGATGGAGAAAGAAGTGAACCACACACCCTCACATAAAAGCTTACCATGTGCCACGTACTTCTGTAAGCTGTTTTACACACTCTGCCTGATTGAATTTTTACAACAACCCTGTGAAGTTGGTGCTCTTATCAAGCCCATTTTACAGATAAGCAAGTTACAGCATACAAAAGGGGGTAGCTCGCTCAAAGTCCCACAGCTAGTGAGCAGCAGAGCCCAGGACTCGAATCCAGGCGGAGGGCTTCAGACTCTGTGCCTGTAACGCCTGAGCTCCAGCGTAGCAAGTCATAAAACCTTCACAACAGCTCCTGGAGAGAGGTGGTTTTTGTGTTATTGTTTGGGGCTGGCCAGCACATGCAGCCCTTTTTATGTTTGATGGGAGATAGAACCCAATAACCCCTACAGGAACCGAAAGCCCGGATACTCAGTTTCCCAGGTCCCCTTGCAGCCAGGGGCAAGCATCGACTCAGTCTTGGACAGCCAGGTGTGCCCGGGGAGGACTCTGACCCAAAGAAATAGGGACAGTAGGGAGTGGGTTTGGTTGACGATGGGGCAGACAAGTGTGGGGGTGGCTGTCAATGGTGCAGAAGCTCCCCAGGTCCAGCACCGCCAGTGGTGCCAGGGCTGCACTTGGAACCTGAGGGGCAGAGGCAGCTGCTGAGAGTGGGGTCTTGGAAGGCGAAAGGCTGTCTGGCCACTCCTGGCTGTAGTTCAAACATATCTGCCACAAGGGCCTTATGACTCAGTGGATCCAATGGTGCTTGACAAATTGGGGTGACCCATGAGGCTGTGGCAGGCAAGACCCAGAAGCAGAGTCCCCAGGGTGTCCCAAAGGGGTGTAGAGGCCCAGCCCACTTCAGCAAATAACAGTTCTCTTGATAAATAGTCTCTTGCGAGCTTGTGGCTTCCAACAGAAACCAAACATGGAACCGTGGGACACCAGGTGTCTTTGTGACCTAAGCCCTCTCATGAACTGAGGAGTATCTGATCTTCATAAGCCGCAGTGTTCCTCACCCTCAAGTAAAGCTGGATGGAGCCAGGGAATATCCTGAAGACAGAAAGAAGCCAGAAAATGCCCTGACCTGCCCTCTAGCTTGCCCTTGCTTACTAAACTGCATCTCCCTCCTCAGTCCACTCCAGTGGCTTCAGGAAAAGTTATGCATGGAAGATATCGAGAAGAAAAAATGTTCCAAGTGGATGCCGCTTATTATGAGGTATCTAGAATAGGTAAAGTCATTGAGACAGAAAGTAGAATAGATGTTATTAGGGGCTGGGGGGAAGAGGGAATGAGTAGTTGTTTATTTAGTGGTACAGAGTTTCTCTTTGGAATGATGAAAAAGTTCTGGAAATGGATACTGTTGATGGTTGCACAACACTGTGAATGTACTTAATGCCGCTGAATTGTATACTTAAACATGGTTAAAATGGTAAGTTGTATGTTATGTGTATTTTACTACAGTGGAAAATACAAAAAGTTTATAAAGGTGCACTCTAAGTTATACAATGGAATAGCAGACAGGAAAAAAAAAGCCTACTGTTACACATAACAACATGGATGAACCTCAGACATACTGTTGAGGAAAGAAGCCAGGCACAACAGAATATTGCATCATCTGTTTATTTGAAGTTCAAGAACAGACAGAACGAGTCTATGTTAACAGAAGTCAAAAAAGTGGTTTTCTCTGCTAGGGAGGATTATTGACTTGGAAGGGGCATTAGGAAGGCTTCTGGGGAAAGATTTATATCGTGATCCGAATGTTGGTTACGTGAATATACACAATATATAAATATTAATTGAGCTGTGTATCTAGGACTTGCTATATGCTATACGCATAATACATTGATAAAAAGTACACATCTTTTGACTCAGAAATTCTGCTTTTGGCAATCTAGTCAAACAACAGCATCACTATGTAACAATAATAGTTTAAGAATTAATTGTAGCAATCTATACTGTAAAAAATGAAATAGCTATCAAAAGGGAAATTTTTGAATAAATTATATTATATTCACACTATGTAATATGATGTAGCTATTAAAAAGGATTGCTATGGAGTGACACTGTTACATCAAAAAGGGCACTGCTGAGAAATGTGTATGAAATGTGATTTTTGTAGCAGCCAGCCCAGTGGTGTAGCGGTTAAGTTCCCACGCTCCACTTAGGCGGCCTCGGGTTTGCTGGTTTGGATCCTGGGTGTGGACCTAGTACCACTCTTCAAGCCACGCTGTGGCAGTGTCCCACATAAAACAGAGGAGGATTGGCACAGATGTTAGCTCAGCAATAATCTTCCTCAAGCAAAAAGGGGAAGATTGGCAACAGATGTTAGCTCAGGGCTAATCTTCCTCACACACACACACACAAAGGCAATTTTTCTAAAAAGAAAAATCCTCAAAATCTATATTTCTATGAGCACAGAGAAAAGAGTGGAAAGATACACACCAAATTGTTAACATTGTTTACCTGGGGCCAGCAGGATTGAAGAGGAGAAGGAGATTATTAACTTTTGAACAACATATTTCTATTGTTTGACTTCTATTTTGTCTTTGAAGTAAAAACCCTTCTCTAAAATAGGTAAATAAGCAGTATTAGTAAGAAAAAATATGTGATCATTATAGATATCTTGGAAGGAACTATGTCAAAATGTTAAGAATGGTTATCTTTGGATAGTGGGGCTAAGGGTTAACCTTTGTTTTTAATATTTAAAATCAACTTAGTTGAGGTATAATTTATGTACACTGATATTCACTAATGTTGAGTTTTTCCCTATGGTACACTTTTCTGTATTTCTACATTGTAAAAATTAATCACAAGATTCTGGGACAATGGTGGTGGCAGAGTTTTTGGAGCTCACCAGATTCTTTCATAAAAACAGAACAACTAGACAGCAAAACCAAAGTCCATCAACAGCACTTTGAACAATTACAAAATGAGGTGACAAGATATCTCCGTAACACCCAAAAATAAGTGGGTGGGGACAAGCATTTGTGTGGTGTCAGCATTTGTGTGGGAGAGAGCAGAGCCAGACAATGGGGCATATGACACATCTGAGAACAGGAGACCCCAAAAGAGCCAACAGGCATTCACTGGAAAGCACAACAGACTAATCTGAAAGGAGCAGTTAAAACAGAGAAGAGCTTTGCAGAATCCAATAGCTGATGAATGAAGGGGTCTGTGGTAAATTCTCAAGGGGCTGGAGCAGACTAGGTCCCAGGAACTCCGGAACTGACCAGCAAGGTGACCTAGGGCAGAGCTCCACTCTGAGGAGAAACTGCTGGAAGTAGAATAAAAATTAATCAGAACAGGGACAACAAAGCCAAACGAAGAGAAGGTCTAGAGAAAGGTGGAGAAGGGAAACAAAGCTAGGAAATCTTAGCGAGCAAGCGGCCATGTTTATTGAAGCATGACACAGAAACAACAGCAGAGGGAGCTCTGTGAAGTTAGAAAAGCTATGCTGAAACACACCTACTAAAAGTTCAGGAAAACAAATGTTTCCAAAAGAAATGAGTGACAGAAAAGGATCGAGGGTGAATCCCACACAAAGTTATTATGATAAAAAAGAAAAAGGAGCAAAATAACATCCCTACTGACAATGAAAGCATACTAGACAGACTTACCCAGCAGTAGAACACACTATAATCCATTATTTCAAAATGAGCTGAAAGGTGCTGAGAAAATGATACAAGAAAGAAAAGAACAACATAAGTCAGAACCTGAAAAATGCAGCTATGAGCTGACAAAACTCAGAAAAGAATTCAAAATAAAAGAGAAAACCTTTTGGATGACATCAGCATCAAGGTAGAGTGAGCTCTCTCAGGAAAC